TCAGGGGCTTGCTGCTGTTTTCTCTTTATTTCACACATAAAACCTTTTAAATAGTACAAGAAATACAAAGGATAAAAAATAATAAAAACTAATGTTTCATTTCTGATACAAAGGAAAGTTGTCTAAATAAAACAATATTAAATATTTTCCAAATGAAGATAAAACAATAATATACTCATTGGTCCATTTCATAGAATGAACTGGTTACGTGACAGGAAATCTCTTAACATGTTTCTCTTCCCAATCAGCGAAATGAAATCATATATTCACCAAATCCAGAGCTAATTGTGAATGACATCTAATAATTATTTTTTTTCCAAGATGTGCAACACATGTGTGCCATGGCATATTTCCAACTAAACCCAATAAATTAAGGTTGCTATGCAGTAGTGTTGTATGTTTACCTGTGAAATACATATGAATGAACAGAAGCTTGAAAAATTAGGAGAAAAGAAAATCATTCTGAAATAATTGCACAAATAGAAAGCTTTAATGACGTATTTCAGCAATTAGGTACTTCAAACAGACCTACAAAAATTAGGTCTGTTTCTAATACACAGAAGGCCTACTTAAAACAATGCAAATCACTAAACAGTAGTGAAAAGTGACTAACATACATCATGCTTAAAACTTAGCAACAATTACTCATACACTTAAAACTTGCTCAAAGACAAGGCATGCTGGTGACACCGGTAATTCCAGTCCTGGGAAGGCTGAAAACAGGAGGATCACTACAAGTCTAAGTTACCAAATACATTTTAAAAAATTTTTCTCAGCCTGACAATTAAATGGTTGCAGATCACAGAAAATAAATATTTTGTTTTTCTTATTCTAGTGCAGAGGGATGTTGACCCCAGGTCAAATTGAAACTGTTTCTTCTGTGATCTCTTGGCCACTATCAGACTAACTGGTGTCTCCTGTGAAGTCCCTCCTTCCCAAGGGCAATATGGAGGTTAATTTGGTTTTATTCCCAGGGCATTCACTGGCCAGCTCCAGCAGCCTCACTTACGCCATAAGAACCCTGGACAGCCATCCACGGAACATAGATCTCACTCCAGACAGTGTGACATATTCCTGCTCCCAGTGGAACAATCCAAGGAGGTCCCCCCATCCTTCCTGGAGTTGTCGCCCCTCCTTCTTCATCTCAAACCCTCTCTGCCATCACTTCTGTAAGTGTTCATGTTGTTTGTATCTCTGTGCTGTAATTCGGAGCTCAGAAGTGACTTGGTTTGTGCAGCACAGTCGGTGTGCTAGGACCTCATGCTCCAACAGCAGCTCCTGGAGCCCACACAGGACACAGAAGAGGGCCCCTGATGGCCACCTCCATGCCAGTCCAGGGCCTGAATCAGCCACCGCACCTGTGGCATGGCAACCAGGGGCAGAATCTGGCTTCCTGCAGAGCAGCACTGTGCTTCCAGGAAGGACTTGCGGATTTTGTCCAGCTAGCCCGAGTCCTGTGCTGTGCCCACCAAACCTGCAGGGCCAGGACACTTGTGTCCCAGTCCTATGCCTGTGCTGTGTGATTTAGTGTTAGCTCCTGGAACTCCTCCTGGGTCCTATCCTGCTGTAGAATTGGAATACAGGGCCACTATCAGCAACTGGATAAGTTATAGCTAGGAGCTCAGGACAGTTCAGTACTTCTCAAAGTGTGAATCACGTCTGGCTTGGAACAACCTGCCAGGTGCAGGCCTTCTGTGGCCCTTTTCTCTTGAAGCACAAAAAAGGGTAACCTGTTGTTGAAGGACTAGGTCAGGGATGTGACATTCATAAGCTTTTGACATATCTCCCTCAGGTGACCAGAGAATCTGGCCCCTCAGTTATTGATGCTTACAAACCCAGAACTCTGGGAGCCTCTGGCAGGAGAATCGCAGTGTCCCACCTGGAGTACTTAGACACTTAGCGGGACTCTAAAAGGGCTGTGACTAGCTCAGTAAAAAAATTTTTGTTTAATCTTCAGTACTGAAAATAAGGGCATATGAAATCATCTATTCAGAAAATCTTAGCCTAAATGCTGGCTTGCTGACAAGTGTCAAAGAGTGTGCCATGGCTTCTCTATACAGTTGGAGTTGACCTGCTGTGCTTGTCCCGGAAAGGGCTCGGTGCCACCCTGAGCCCAGGATGCACAAGCTGTGGGAACTGCAGTGTTTCAGGGACAAAATTGCAGTGTGTCTCCTATCCAGCACTTTTGCCAGCCCAGCAGTTACACAAGTATTGTCCTCACACTGCTAAAACTGGTTTTATATCATCACTAAAAGTGTGCTTAAGCCATTGACAGTGATAAATGAGGTCCATAGTTCATCCTCAAGGAGGTGAGAACACGTCTGTGGACCAGCTCACCACGTTGCTACCCACAGAAGTGATTCCTACCGCTCTGGGTTGGGGCATGATCGCGTCTGGACAGGAAGATCCCAGTGAGAAAGTGGGCAAAGTGTAGCTCACCATTCACCCTCTCGTGGTGTGCAGTGCATGTGGGTCATATGTTACCAAGCTGTGTAGCTACGGTGTGTTGTGAACTCTCCTCCTCTCCCACTTGGTCTCCTTGGTTCGGTCTGATGAAGGGATTCTCCGGAGCTGCTCATCAAGCGCTTCTAGTGTAAGACGCTGTGATACGGTGCTATGACCTTGGGAAGCAGGGGAGCTGTTTTGCTCTGAGACAAAAGGGAAAAGGATAGGAAAATAAGAGAACTGAGCAGCTTAATGGAGGAACACAGGGGACATTTGTAATTCTCAGCTACACAGATGACAAAATACCCTCAGTGACTAGAAATCTGAAGAGGAGCAGAGGCTCAGGGCAGAGAAACAGAGAAGAGAAAACAACCCAGCCAAACATCTCTGAAGGAGAAGGAGGGTTTCCTGTCCCCAGTAGACAATTAGATGTGGCTAAAAACACAGCTGTCATAAAGTACTTCCTGTAGGTAACAATGCCACCGCTGGGGAGCTCACTGAGAGTTCAAGTTTTCTGCCATAAGATAAACGAGTGTGAATATTATGGTGCATAGTCACAACGGTCCATTTTGAAGTAGATGTAATAGGTAGGCAAATAGTCCACAAAGCAAAGAGAGTACCTGATAGCTTTGCATCTGTGTCTGGAAAGCTATCAGGTCAATTTTAGGTCAATTTAGGTCAAAATTAGGCCAATTTTTCCAAGATCTATTGAGTTTTCTCAAAGTGTTTGACTGGGAGAGACAGCCCTTATGATTTGTGCCAAGTGATAAATATTTTTACCAAAAAGATGAGATCATGACTTTGTTGCTAATGCAACATGAACAGAGGCTGTGGAACACAGAGAACAGCGCTGTGGGCCCTCCTCCTTCCTCCCGGCTCTCCTCTCCAGCTTCCGGGGATAAGCTTTCCAATCTGCTCTTCTACAAGAGCAATGAGTGGCCAGTAGTGGGTGCTGCTTGTCTTTCTATTTTTTGCAAGTTGGATATAATTTTCAGTGGGCTGTAACATATTTTTAAAAGTTCAAAAAGTAGATGTTCAAACTGATACAAATACATAACTTTGTGGAGATACAAATAATACTTTCCTTCCTGTAACCATTGTATATGGTACACATCTGTCAGTTTACAGCACTCCTACACAGGAAGTGTACAAATGCGGTGTGTCAGTGACAAAAAGCACAGACAAAAGGCTTTATTTAAACCATTAATTATGAGGGAACTGTCACGATATCTCAGACGGTGCCAAGGAGAAAGAGAAGAACCACACACATGAGGACAGATGAAGAAGGCTGAAGATTATGCACAGATGCTTATACCTACCCGTGGTGACTGGCATGAGATGGGAAACTAAGACATTCGCATTTCTCTGGTAAGCAAAATAAAGAACAAAAACATAAAGAATATCTGTTAGTTTTTCCAGTGTTGCAGTCTCTGGGAAATCAGACTAATTTTTCTAGGATCTATTGAGTCTTAATAATTTATATTGTTTCCAATTTCCTATAATTTAAGAAATTATAAAATAGTTCAAAGACAAAAGAAACTATTTAAGACTATATAGAAAAAGAAACTATATATCACTATAAAAAGGAACTATATAAGACTATATATGTTTAATTTCCTATTACTATTGTTTTCCCATTTTTCAAGATTTTCAGTTTTTTCCTGACATTTACCTAAGGAAGTCAGCTTGAGCCATTTAATAATTTGGTGTGCAGATAATTTTATGTGCTGAAGATCAAACCAAGGGGCTGGCAGAGGCTTCACGTGTGCTCCTTCAGCCCATGTTAGGCACAGTATTATAAATGAATTACTCATCTGAACTAGAATAATACACAGAGGATGTCTTCAGTGTAAAATGACTAAACTGCTTTTCAGATCATTTAATCAAAGTCACAAAGTTAATGAACTGGTCAGCTGAAATTTGGACTGAAGACCCCTGTCACTGAAACCGTGCATTAAGGGTCGGCGGTATAGCTACCCGGACTAAGTTTGCTTAGGTAAACTCGGTCGAGGGTTCGATCTCTGGCTCCACATGCCACACCGCTGAGTGGGCGATGGAGTCGGCGTGGTAGTGCCCGCCTATAATCCCAGAACTACGGAGATAGAAACCAGGAAGATCACTACAGAATCCGAGCTGTGCAGTGAGACCCTGTACACACACACACACACACACACACACACACACACACACACACACGCACACACACATGCACGCATGCACACACACATTAAAAATAGCTGTGCATTATTTTATAAGAATGTATTTCAACCAAAGAATGCATGTGTAACTCTGTTTAGTCCATTACTGATTACAGATCTAATTCAGATGAAATGCGGAGGCACATAGTGCTAGATGCATGTCGTACGCAGCCTCACGCTCAGCTACTCCTTCGTTGAAGCAGTCTACATAGGGCTTCCTGGTATCCCCTTTGGTCTCAAGTTTTCTGAAAGACATAAAGATGAGGTGGAGAGATAAATGAGAAAATAGAGCAGTTAGGACCTTTAGTGGAGTCTCACATTCCTTACTTTATCTTTATAGATTAAAGTTCCAGAGACATGGACAACTCTACGTTGGGAAGCACGTTCTTCCTCACAAGCTTCTCCAGCACCCCGGAGCTGCGGGTCCTGCACGCCGTGCTCTTCCTGGTGATTTACCTGGCGGCCCTGCTGAGCAACCTCCTGCTCATCATGGTCACCACCCTCGACCCCCGGCTACACAGCCCCATGTACTTCTTCCTCAGGAATCTATCCTTCCTGGACGTGTGCCTCATTTCCATCACCGTCCCCAAGTCCATCGCAAACTCTCTGATGAACCTAACCCTCATCTCCTTCCTGGGCTGTGTGTCCCAGGTTTTCTTCTTCTTCCTCTTAGCCACAACGGAGGTGGCTCTCCTCACGGTCATGTCCTATGACCGCTACATCGCCATCTGCCACCCTCTCAGGTACGGGACTGTCATGAGCCACCCAGCCTGCGAGCAGATGGCAGCCTCCTCGTGGGTCAGCGGAGGTCTCAACGCAGTTCTGCACACAGCTGCCACCTTCTCCGTGCCCATGTGCGGACCTCGTGAGGTCCACCAGTTCTTCTGCGACGTCCCGCAGCTGCTCTCCCTTGCCTGCTTCCGTAATGTTGGGGAGTTGGTGGTCATTGGGCTCAGCCTCCTGCTGGACCTTGGCTGCTTTGTGTTCATTGATGTTTCTTATTTCCACATCTTCTCCACTGTCCTGAAGATGCCCTCCCGAGCAGGGCGCTCCAAAGCGTTCTCCACGTGCCTGCCTCACCTTGCCGTGGTGACTCTGTTTCTGTCTTCTGGGTTTTTTGCCTATTTGCACCCCCTACCCAAGTCTGCATCAGCCTTGGATTTGCTCGTGTCCGTCTTCTACACGGTGGTGCCACCCACGCTCAATCCCCTCATCTACAGCCTAAGGAACAAGGACATGCAAAAGGCCCTGAGAAGACTGCTGCTGAGCAGGCGGCACCTTCCACATTAGAAGAGCTTTCCCTCATCTGTCTTGACCACTTTATTCCCTGACACAGGTACCTGAACTGTAAGGTTACTTCATTTGGCAACATTAGATCTTTACAAGAGTCATCCCACGAAAGTCTGATGAAACCTCTTGAAGGGTAGCTGGACAGTATGTTTCTCGTTCACTCAAGTGAGCGGTCAAGCCAGTTGTGTCTGCGCACCAGTGCAGAGGCATGTGGACGCCACTTCTGGAAGCTCGTGGTATGTGCTCTGTCCAGGTTGAAAACGAACAGGTTGGCAAGACATCAGAAACGAACGTGGCCTTTCCCAGACAGAGTGAAAGGGCAGTCATTCTTAGCAAAGGAAATATCTCCAATGTCATGCACGCTGACTTAAGGAACTGGAGAGGGATGATGGACGGATCTAGTGAATGTGATGAATGCCACAGAATTCTGCAAATTAAAACAGCTAATTTTGTGCTACACAGTGGAATATTGGTCTATGAACTTGGTTTCTTCATGATTCCTTTCTGGGCCCCCAATAATCATATTTTACTGATTCTGAAGCACTCTAACTTTGTTAATGCAAGAACGTTAAGGAAAACATCAGAGTAACTATCGGAGTAGCTATTTATGGATGAGAAAAGAATTAAACGTTTAAAGATCTTGTGATAGATCATTTGATGAGAGCATTTGCTTACTTCAATATATACAACATTAAAAACAATAATTGGGATTGTTACTGATGTCATTGTACCAGAGCATGTTGTGAGTGACTTAAGAAATAACAAAATGCTATACGTCTCACACAATTTCTTAAAATTTAACTTGTACTAGTATTTACTTATGTAAATACAGCTTCTGGAAGTGTGCACATCGCTGCCTGCACAGCAACAGTATTTTACTGCAGTGGAACACATGAGATACACCTTTTTACCACTTACCAGTCCAATTATTTAAATATACGATGACTCAAAATTGGACTTTTGTTAATTATTATAAGATACCACAACAGTTTTTTATATTTCCTGTTGCAGTATCTTATATTATTTTCCTGAATTGAGGCTTCACATCATTGTGGGTTTAATTTATATTTCCATGATGTTTAGTGATGTTGTTTCCACTGAGGTCATTTTTCAAAAAGGCAAGCATTTCCAGATCAGCGTCATCCCTACCAACTTTTTTTCTGTCTTTCAAACCTTTAAAATCATTGATTTTTTTTTTTTCTGTATTCTGGACAGCGTCCTCAGGGTCTCATTGCACACATCAGGCTCCTAGTGATCTGCCTGTTTTTAGCCTCCCAAGTGCTGGAGTTATAGGCAAGCACCACCATGCTCAGTCTCAATCGCCGGGTCAGTGTGCTCTGGCACAGCATGCCGCGGATCAAGCCCTGGCCTCTGCGCTCTGCCTGAGCAGGTGCTTTAGTCCTTCTGAGTTATCAGTCCAGCCTCAGTTATTACGATTTGAAATCTTTCAGCATTCACAATGTTATAGGAAGAAGGCTCTAGGAGCAAAGGGAGAAGGAGAAGAGTTTTTACTCACTGAAAAGTCTCCATAACTACAGCTGCAGATAGTGAGTATGGACATTTTAAACAGTAAGCACAATCCAGGAAACACAGGCTCCCCTATGTGAAGTCAGTTCTGTGTACACAAAATTCACTGAACCAACAAAAAATAAGATGAACAGGAATAATCAAGTATTGTTTCATGCAAGATTCAATATACACAAAATATACCAACTCTCTGAAAATGGGAAATAAAAGAAACCCGCTAATTCCACGTAAGCAGGCTAGAACTACAAACGTGGAGTTAAAGGGACATACAGATTTTAAGTTTCCTGTGGTCTGTCTGCCTGTGCTGTCCAACAGTGACAGCAGGGACACGTGACAGGTGGATGTGTTTTCCCTCTTATTTCTTTTTCTGTCCATTTGCTTTTTTCTTCATGTTTTGTTCTTGTTTTCATATGCATTTGAACATGGTTTCTAGATTTTTTGTTGTTGTTTTATTCTACTCATGTTTATCCTCTCCCATTTTCCCCACCTGTCTTCTGCCCCCCTTTCCCAACATGTGCATGGTGTGCTTTTGTCTCCAGCCTTGCTTCAAATCTCTCCCTTTTCTCTATTTTTCCTTCAACATTTTAAGCATTTCTCCCTCAGAATAACATTGCCTTTTAAGGGCTTATTTACTGCATATACTTTTTGGTTAGTTTTAGACTTTTTTCTATACAGCCACAAATGTACTCCATACAGCTAAACATGTAAAATTAACAGCTACCTCTCTTTGTCCTTTTGTAGGCTGTGTTTGATGCTATTTTTATTACTGACTGTGCCATTTTCATCAAATTGCTCTAACCACCAAAAGAATATGAAACCTAGAGAGTGGGGAAAATATTTTGCCAACTGTTACTCAAAGACTATTATATGGAATATATACAGAACTAAAAATGTCAGAACCACAAAATTTAAAGACCTGATCCAAAACTGGGCAGCTGAGGTGAACACACACTTCTCTGATGAAAAAGTATAAATGAATAAATATATGAAATACGGTCAATATCACTGGTCATTCATGAGATGCAAACTGAGACAATGCTGAGATTTCATCTTTCCCAAGAAAAAGTGGTTAAGCTCAAGAAAGCAAATAACAGCATATCCTTGTTCAGTTGGTGGGAGTGTAGACTGGTGAAACCACTGTGGAAATCAGTGTACAGATTCCTCAGAAAGGTACAACTAGAGGTTCCATTTGGCCCAAGTATCCTTCTTGGTATCTTCCTGAAAGAAGTAAAGCCAGAATAGCACAGTGATATTTGCATACCCGTGTTTATAAGGTGCAGATTGTAAGAGCTAAACCTTGGAAACAACTGCAATGCACATCCACGGACGAATGGATGAAGAACACGTGCATTCTGTGTACAGTGAGCACACTTCTGCCGTAAAGAAGAATGAGCTTGAGACACTTACGTGTAAGCGGGTGCAGCTTGAGACCACACTCTTGGGTACAATTAATTGGACACATGCAAGTGTCACGCCGTTTGTCTGGGGTGAGAAAAGTGTCAGCAAGGACCACAGTTATAACAGATATTGTGAAAGAAGAACATGTTTAAATGGGAAGGGGAGCCATGGAGGGGGAAGGAGGAATGACAGAAGGCACAAGAAAGGCATGGGACAGGAAGGGAAAAAGGAAATAAAGCTTTTGTAAATGTCCCTCGACCAAGAGATTTTCACACAATTGTGTCAAGTGAGTCTCAAGTTACCGGACTAAAAATTAAAAAAAAAAAATAGATACAGTTGGAGCGAGCACTTCTCAGGCAAGGCTGCACTTTTATAGGTGGAGGTGGAGGGCGTGGCTGCTTGTCTAAGGAAGCTGAGACGCAAGACTAGAGGGAGTCCTAAGGAGATCTATAGGGCTGCAGCTCGGCAGCTGCCTAAACATGTCCCCTTGGCCTGGTGCCTTTTGTGGTGAACATTGCAAGAAGTTGGGGAACAAACTATGGAATTTAGGGAATAAACCACAGAACCAAGGAGTAAACTTTGGAATTTAGGGATAAACTCTGTCAACAGAAGGGAAAATGAACACTTAAGTCAATTTTCAAACTGCACACAAACTTTGTATTAGAAAATCTGCAACTCTAGTTTCTGTAGTTTCTGCTAAGACTATGCATCTGCACAACTGTTAGTAAAGCTAAGTCTCCGGACCTCACTGTGGGTCACAGGGCCCTGCCAGCCCTGCTTCCCCGTCCTATTAGAGGAAGCTGCCTGGAGCTGTTCTCCCAGGCCAGCTGCACCGCAGTTCCCATCTCCTGCTTATAGACCTCCACGTGTGAGGCACAGCCGGGAAATGAAGCCTGGAAACGGGGCTTAGCTGAGGCGGGTGGTGGGAGAAGATGTGTAAGGGACATACAGTTTCCAGAAAACCTCAGTTAGGATTTCACTATGGTGCACAATGTTAATGTTTTCTATTGCTTCAGTGATGAATTCCATCAGTAATCCTGAAGGGCTACTGGGTCTGACAGTTCTTGAATATATCAATATAATGTCTGTCAGAGGCTTAATATGCTTTAGATACCTTAGCCTCTAACCATTCCTAAGGGCAGGCTTTGTACGTTCTTAGTTTGGGTAAATAAGTAAGACTTGGTGAGTACAAATGACTCTCTCTTTACTAAACTCATGGCCACCCCGAGTTCTGCTTTGTGCTTCACTCTAGCAGGTGACCGACGCCCAACCTGACCTCTCTGAGACATAAATGCATGATCCCACTTTTGTTTAACCCAGTGTTTGGAAAAACAGTGTGAAGTGCATGTTTTGCTAAAGTGGAGTTTTATGTGGTCCATGGCGACAAAACCCGAATGCTCATTATTTGTCCTCAGCAGAAAACTATAAGCAGACAAGTACTCAGGGAGTCTAGCTTCAAGCACTGACCTTGTCCTCGTGGGGCTTGCAGTGGACACCAAACATGCTGTCTGCATCAAGATCTTCATTTTCTTCTTGCTGCCCCTGGCAGGCAACACTCTCCTCATTGTTCTGATCCACTCAGACCTGCGACTGCACACCCCCATGTACCTCCTCCTTGGCCAGCTGTCCCTCGTGAACCTCATGTTCATATCCAAGACAGTGCCCAAGATGCTGGTGTGCCAGGCCACTGGAGAGCACACAATTTCACCCTGGGGCTGTGGGGTCCAGATGTTCTCCTGCCTCACTGTGGCTGGAGCTGAATTCTTCCTTCTGGGAGCCATGGCCCATGAACAAAATGCTGCTGTCTGTAGAGCTCTCCATTACCCACTACTAATGAACCCAAGAAGATTCTGGCCCTGCCATCTCCTAGCATGGGGTCCTGGTCTGTCTGGGCACTTGATGGCCTGGTGATCACCCCCATCACCATGAGCTTCCCCTGGAAAATCAGTCCAGGAGAATCCTGAGCTGTTTCTGTGAGGCCCCAGCCTTGCTCAACTCTCCTGCTCTGACATCTCACTCTACAGCCTGCTCATGTACCTGTGCTGCATCCTCATGACCCTGGTTCCTATCCTTGT